AAAAAAAAGAACTCAAAGAAGGCTACTTACTCGCAACCATTAAGTTAATTTACTGTACACATTTATAATTCGAGGTCATCCATGGCTGACCTCAAGTTATTGAATGAAACTACATATCCTGCTTCGGCTTTCGGCTCACCTCTGAATAACGGCCCCCCATCAGTTGCAAAATCTCCCCCCACAAATCATCAGACGACGAATTTCCCAAGATCAAATTCGCGCTGCAAGCAGCCACGTACCAGTACCCGGACTCGATTTCCTCTATGAGCTGGTCCATCTGCCAGCCGGCATACCCCACAAAGAAACTGAAATCGCGGACCGAAAGAACTCCCTTCTTGACCAGGGCCGAGGCCTTGTCCAGGCTGTTCCTCGACCCGAAGTACAGCCCAGGAATAACCTCCTCGAACCCGTGTGGCCTGATTCGCTGGTGGGTCTTCAGAAGGAACATGCTTGCTTCGAGTGGCCCACCAAAGTGGAGGGAGCAGTCTGCAAAGGTGGCCCGATTCATCTTCTTGTTGAGGGGCCGGTTGACGATGACTCCGTAAGGCATCTCTTGGGGGTTTTCGGTTTTTGACTGGAGGAGGAAGATCACTGTCCGCTCGAAGGTTCGGTCCCCGTCGAGCTTCTCGGTAGCCACGAGGAGGCAGCCGTTCTCGAGGGATGAGATGGGGTGGGCCCACTTTTCGGGAAGGGGTTTGAGTCGGGCTGGTGGGGTTTTTTCTTGATTGCGCGCGTTATCTGCATTTTCGGTCTAGGGGAATATATCTATAAGCATGCGTCAATACAACCAAGACGGTTTTCTATCGAACAGAATGGCATATACAGTTCAAAATCATAAAATGATAAGAAAGAAAGGCAGGAGTGAATAAACTCCATCCTTCAGCAGTCAGCGCATACCTTACAGATGGGATCTTATTCAACCTTCGTGATTCTAACTAATTAACAGAAAAATTAAAATCAAATCAAAGGAGGAAAGGTTATTCGCACTTTTCGAGGCTCATCAGGAAGAAGTAAGTAATCATATAAAGCTCAAGTCTCAACAATGATATTGGAGAAGGAATCAATTAAAAAGAAAAAACAGAAAACTACCTGCTCCTGAATGTAGAGAGACGCTCTGAACTCTCTCCAGTCCAAGGGTTTACGTTGGAACTTATCACCAGATTTGTCGTTGCTTTTTAAGCCATCTCCTCCACCTTTAGAATGATCATTTTTCCCTGCAAAATCAAATGAATAACAATTAGCAAGAGCAATTTTTAAGCCCTCTATAATTCATGCGAAAAGCACAGAACAGCATTGACAGTAAGGATAGATGTTACACTTTGTCACAAACACCCAATAAAGTATCTACGCGAACAAGCCGGCAACTAGAGATAAATCGTGGTAGCTACTAAATAGTAAGTGGCAGAACTCATCCATCCTAACAGATGAACTTAACAAGAAGCCTAAAACTTAAGCAACATTTTCATTCAGTCATTCGAGTCCTATTTTTTTTACTGCTATTCATACGAATATTGTTACATCCTGTCATGAAGAATAATTAGGACGCCTCCACTATTTTTCAAAGTGCTCATGTAATGGACACACGTAATTAAACAAGTTGCGCACGTAACATTGCAGATTTTCACTAAGACTTAGTATTGTTCTTCTCCTTCTGCGTACAGTAAGGAGCCCAACAATGTTTCATGGGGAAACAAATGCCAACACAGTCTAAATCAGAACTTCCATTAATCAATAAATCCTATTTCTCGAAGCATACAAGCTCCTAGACGGAAAAGAGACTCGTTTTTTCATCTACAATCAGAAAGTCACTTCCTTTAGAGTTTGCAAACATTCCTCAAATCTAAACTACATTGCGATGTTCTTGATTGCCGGCAAATAAACGAACTCACATGATCGGCAAAAGTTCAGCTACACAGTGAAAATTTCCCCATCTCAAAGAACACAAATTTGCACAGCTTACCAGAGCCAGAAGAGGAGTTTGAATTCGAATTTCCGAAATTTCTCGGATTCTTCCCCGCCATGGCTTTGATCAACACCGATCGATGCCTAAAATAGCTGGGCAAAGCTTCCCACCTCGAAGCCCTAATTTCCACAGCCATTGAATGAGCCCTCGAGCCCCAATAAACCGATTTCTCGGGAAAAGAACTTCTCAACAGAAAATCGTTGCCTGTCGCGTGCACGCAGCAAATATCCATCAATTCCTCAGAATTCAAAAACAAAAACAAGGAAAAAAAATACAAATCAGCTCGTTTTATCTCTTTCTTTCATGAACGAATTAGACGACAGTGAGAGAAAAAAAAAAATGTCAAATGGGATTAGAAAAGGGGAAAGTGAGGACGCGAATATGATTAAATCTGAATATTTTAACAAAATGATGAGAAGGATTGGGAAGATGACAGGTGCAAGTTAGCCTAATTTGGTCAGACATTTCTATTATGCGCCGTTTACCGGCCGGCTACAACGTGGTATATTTTAAAGGCAAGGGGGCGATTGTCAATCAAAATTCAAATTAATTTATTTTTAACTCAATTTTATTATCCTATAAAATTATATATATATAATTAAATAATATTAATCAATCGCACTTCATATTAATCATAATTCACTACTTATCCACTTATATAACTCTAACTAAAGATCACATCCAATTATTTTAATAAACATATCATTTTTTTTCAAAATTAACTATAGTTAAAATACAAACTAAATAAAAATTAGTTCAATTCATAAACAATTACGCCCTAAATAATTTTTTCCAACTTGTATTATATGCTCTTTTGGATTTTCAACCTAAAGTATTTTTTGTTGTAAAATGCAACATGAACTACATATATATAATTATTTGCACGTTCAACTACTTTTTGGTCTTCCGATCATCTGTAAAAAAATGACACATGTATGGTCAAAATGTGGTTGAGCGTGCATATATAATTCAAGTTGCATTTTATAACAAAAATATTTTAGGTTGAAAATTCCATAAACACATATAGTACAGATTAAAAATAATTATTTACCCTTTTTTAAAAGAGAAAATTGTAAATTTAATCTGCATGATTGGGCACGTTGCAAAATTAGTCATACTGAAATTCAATTCTTAACTTTTTTTTTCATTAGGAAAATAGTCTGAAAGCATTCAACATTAACAAGGGTGAACACACGAGTTACGTGGTCGTTAGGTCATTAGGTTGAAAAGGACGAAATTGTAAATTCAGTATCATAAAATTGACAGTGTTGCAAATTTGGTTATTTACTATTTTTTGTTTCAAATTTGTGTCGTGAGTATATAAAAATCTTTAATAGACGCAAAAATGCAGAAAATAGAAAAAACTCATAAATAATTATCAGAATTCCCTAAAACATTTGTTGATAACCGACCTGGTCAGACCAGAAGCCACGTAGTCACAACCCCGAATTTGAGTAAAGGATTGGGAAGGAAACCCGGCTTGGTGGACCGGGGACAGACTTCCATGGGAAATCGAAGTCTGGAGGATGATACATGGATGGGACGCCTGTCAATCAGCCGCTCATGCTCTCATCATTACATGTGGGTCCACCTATGGACTAGTTATCTATAGGCCGTTAAATCGCATTTGATGTCGTCGGATAAGCCTCGAAGAATGAGCATGTGGTTGCTATAAATAGTATTATTTATTCCTGTACGGGGATTTTTTATTTTCTTGGCACAGTACATTCGCATATAAAACAACTCGGTTCCACAGATAACCGACTTCTTGTACTTGAATCCAACTTAAAGATAATAAAAATTCAGCTAATTTATAGCTTTTAACTCATTTAATCTTTGTGATTATGGTTGTTAAAGTTCACATAACAACAAATTTATTTCACCACCAAAAAAAAAAAAACAAATGTTCGCCCACAACTTTATACGCAAAATGCAAAAACAAAAAGTCCGCATATAATGGTGGTAAAAAAGTCCCTGAAAACTTTATTTCACCACGATACATCACCATTTTATGTATATAACAAGTTTTGATAGTACAAAAATAATTTTGAGATGAAAAAAAATAACGACCAAAGGTTCCTGCACAACTTACACGTTAAAATGTGAAAATATAAAAACTCATAAATAATAAAAAAAAAAAAATACCCCTAAAAAACCTTCTTTCACCACAGTACAACACCATATGATGTATAGCAAACTTTGATAGTAAATATAGTTATGTGGAAGAAAATAAAACGATCAAAGACAGTGAATAGTAGCAAACGCTGTAAATCCAAAAATTAAAAACATAAATCGTAAAAAAACCCCCAAATAAATCTTTCAACAATATATAATTGACCAATTTGATCAACCATTTCTAATCGGTTCATTGGAGACCAGATCGTTCAAAATAATCCAACTGTTAGTTGACCGATTCTTAATTCAATAGCCAGTTTGGGCCAGTTTTCAAAACAATAGTAGTTGATATTATTTTTATTTTTGTTTTTAAAATTTATTAACATCTACAATCATTTTTTGTATTTTTTATCAACCACTATAATTATAATGAAATTAAATGATTATTTTTTAAATATATTTGTTATTTAATTAAAAATAATTTAAAATATAGAAAACATTATATATTAAGTAATTATATTTTATTTTTGTTTCAAAACTAACTTTTTACTATAAAATAAGTCGATCTAATTAACTCAAACTCGAGCTTGAGCATTTAACGAGCCAGTAATCAACTTCAACTTGTTTATCCATATATATTAATAAGTTGACTTAAAGCTTTAACGATCTAGATATAG